GTAAAATGGAATTGAAAGAAAACATGAAATAGGAAGTACTTAGTAGATCTTAACTAAATGGGGCTTTATCTACGGGTTGAAATTTTTGTCATGAAATTCAAACCGAATTCGCATGATACGATAAGTATCCGGAAGTAGTAGTCCGAATGTTTTTATCCGCAAGTCCCCTTCCAACTTAGACTTACCGAGAAGTTATCTAATAGTGATAATTGATTACTGAAATATGGCTCTTTATATTCATTGCATCAAGGAATTTCATTCACTCGTCGTGATCAAACGCGACATGGTGTATTTGGTTAAACTATGATAATCAGGTGCTGGTTTTTGCTAAGCGAATAAGTGAGTCGTGCAGCATTGAACATCATAGACTCATCAGAGACATCTGAAAACTGTTCTGTGTCCTTTCCATCAGATCGTCTAGTGAAAAGTAATATGTGAAGTTGATGACTCGAATGAGGAGGATCAGGATCCAACGTATGTTCCTGCTGAAATGATTCTATATCTGACTCAGCATCAGAACCCAGATTCTGCCAACGGTTGGGGGGAAAATAATTTTTAATCCCGCAGGTGCTTATCTTGATAGATGCTTCAGGTAAATTATGAAACATATAATATTATCCTGGTAATATGATATAGCCTTAGCAGACCTTCACGTCTGTTTACAAACTGGTCTGATTAGGTAATTACTTTTTAAGCTAATAGCTAAGTTCAACAGGCAGTGACAGGTGTAAGCTTATTGTGACCGATCAATGTTGTTCTTGTGCGTTGATATCCGTGGAAAGCGTTGTTCGCCTTGTTCAACACTTTCGTGTATACAACATTCCCTCCTAAAAACCTATATGGTGGATTTTGAATACAGACATGACTTCAAAACAGGTAATAGACCGACTTCGAGGTGAGAGCTCTACAAAATTTGGTTTTAAAATCATGGACCCACCTCCGCCACCTCACCTACATTCTCAAATTGGCCGCTGTTGCTTAGTTACAAAAAGTGGAAATCTTCTCTAGAAGCCACACACGCGCATAGAGTTAGATATTTTGCATATGTAGCATGTTTAGTGGACTGCTGCTAAAAGTGTTCAATACATTGAACCTCCCCGTCTCCACTGACCTTGACCCTCAGTCGACCTACTTATTTATAATAATGAGCTACATAGTCTTGAATTTACGACCACAAATTCTCGCACTTTTTTCATGCAGATTTGTCTACTTCTTACACAGTTGATGCTACGCTTAGATGTGTGCAGGTGAGGATTTAGTGGCCGTATGGCACGCTTGTAAAAAAGACTCATGTCAAGTTTGAAATATATGGTTATCCATAAATATTCCAATTTTGACAGAGATTAATGTGCACTTGAATTTTTTAATAGGATATTGATATTGAGTTAACATGCCTATTATTGAAGGAAAGTTGCGTGTTTGCATTGAGGGTTTTTAGAAAAAACATAAGTTTTTTTATTATCAAAGCCATGCATTTCGCTGGGATATTCTTGTCCTATTGTACAAATTTCTAGATATACTGCACGCTTAGATTTTATCACATAAATGGAACAGGCCCAGGCCCTATAATTCTCTCGACAGAGAAAATGCCTTGAGATGAAATAGACAAGTCATAAAGATTTTTAGCATACATATAAGTACTATGGCACAAACATGTAGAAATATTTTATTGTAAATTTACATTTAATGCATTGCGTATAATTCAATAAGTGCTAGGCAATTTGAAACAGTGTAATTTGAAATCTCAGTTTATTCGCAATGCATATCACTATTACAATATATAAACAAGTATTTGCAATATTGTATTATCTCTGAAATTAAATTGCAATAAGTATATGGATATGTAATCGTTATCACCAAAATCAGATATTTGTGATACATATTTGGAATGTAAAATGCAAGTGGACAGAACACCATACCAATAACTGTATTTCTGTCCTATTAGTGGAACCGGGTGCAAAATATGATGGAAACCCAATAACTGAGTATTTTGGTCTCTGGCCACAAGGGTGCAAAGATATATTGGACCCAATCAAGCTGGTCCTAGGGTGTGTTCCTCTAGTATGATGAAAGTTGGAAGTTGCATTTTGGATAGAGCTACATGTATTATAAGTATAACATTCTTGTATGCATAAAAATATTAAAAGAATAAATTTAATTGACACCATCGAAATGATACAACTATTAATCATTGCAAAAGATTTCATTCTCGTGTGATCAGATAGGAATCGGTGTATTTGTGTGACTAGACAATCAGGTGCTGGTTTTGCTTGGGTCGAAACATTAAATACCCATAATTTGATAATATAAAATTGAAAACTGTTCCAATGGCTCTCTTCGCACGAATCATCTAGATGAAAAAGTAATATGTGAAAGTTTCATGATGATAAAGAGCGAACTTCAGGATCAGAACAAAAACCAACGTTTTAAAATGACGTTTTATGCGGGTACCAGCAATGGGATCTCCAGAACCAGCCTGGCGCAGTCTGATCAGGACCCATGGTGTTCGCTTACCAACCCTATAACAAGTAGAGAAACTGATAGCGAACAGCATGGATCCTGATCAGACTGCGCGGATGCTCAGGCTGGTCTGGATCCATGTTGGTCGCAAACGCATAACGTTGGTTTTGTCGTGATGCGGCTCATATGACGAATTTATGTTACGAAATTGATCCAAACAAAAAACTTTAAATATATTTATGCATGAATTATTATCCATGTATTTTACATATATTCATAAAGATATTGTGACATATATACGTGTGTATATTTATGTTTTACATACATATATACATGTATATAGATATGATGATCATTCATTTATATAGACATATTGCACATACGGTTATCAATATATAATATTTTCATATAAATTTATTTTATATACATTATACTTGTATATTAAAGATGTATTTCTACGATATATTATACATACACGTGTATAAATAAACACAGTGTACATACGTTAATATAGATACATTTTCCATATATTTTATTTAAATTAGTGTACATACATTTATAAAGATATATTGTACATATATTTCATCAAGACATAAAGACATAGTCAACATATATTTCTTAAGATATGTTGTACATATACCTTATTAAGTTATAGTGTACATATATTTATAAAAATTATGTTGCACATATATCTTATCAAATCATGGTGTACATGTATTTATAAAGATATATATGTACATACACACATTCATACATTTATACCGATATAATATTATACATGTACGTTGTACATACATTTCATATAGATATAAAATGATATAATTTACATACATGTTTACATATATGAGTATGCATAACATAAAGTGTACATGCATCTGTATTATCACAGTGTACATACATTTTGTAAAAATATAGTTGAAGTGATATTGTACATGCATTTATACAGGCATAAGTTCACTCAATATGTCAAAAAAATACATATATTTTACATATATCTATACAGAGATGGTATTTTCTGTAGTTCATTTTACGAAATAATTCTAATATATGAAAGTAACATTGACATGCTTCTATTGATGGATAAAATAATATAAATTATTCTTTTCATGGACAAAACTAACTTCTAATTGTTTTTTATGTTTCTATACTTCAAAATGTTATATTCCTAAGCTCCTAAATGTTACATTCCTAAGTTTTTAAATTCTAAATTTATATTCTTAACATCTAATTGTTATGTATGTTTTCCTAAGCTTCTTAATGTTATATATTCCTAAACATTTAAATGTTATATTCCTGAACATCTAAATTTACAATTTATTTTTCTAAAATATGTTCCTAAACTTTTAAATGTTATATTCCTTACCTCCTTAATGTTAAACTTCTAAATGTAATATTCTAAATTTCTTAATGTTATATTTCTTAAGTTTTAAATGTTATACTTCTAAATGTTATATTCCTAAACTTCAAAATGTTATATTTCTAAACTTCTAAATGTAATATTCCTTAAGGTCTAAATGGTATTCTTCTAAATGTTATATTCCTTACCTCTTTAATGTTATACTTCTAAATATTATATTCTAAACTTCTAAATGAGATATTTCTTAAGTTCTAATTGTTATACTTCAAATGATATATTCCTAAGTTCAAAATTTTATATTTCTAAACTTCTTGATGTTATACTTCTAAATGTTATATTTCAAGCTTCTAAATGTTATATTCTTTAAGTTTTACATGTTATATTCCTAAAATTCTAAATAGACATGCTTTGGTTCATTTGAAACAAAAATAAAGTAAATTCAGTCTTAGTTTAAATTAGAATATAGCCATTTTAACCATGATTGTGCTTGCTATAAAATTTGTAACAGTCTTTGGTTAAAATGAGGACTTTTCCTAAATTTGTTTAATTGTTTGTTCTTCAAAACGTTTTATATTTACCCATTACCACATGAGCATTTTGTGAAAATGGGATGTTTTCATCCAAGCTCCGTTTACAAAAGTTCAAATTGCCTAACCTTGGGGCACAAAATGTTGACTTTGAACCACCTACCTTGTAAAATTGGCTTCAGTTTTAAGTTTCCTGTTCCCACCATGCCAAACGAGGAAGACCATCTCCAATAATTGCAAAAATCCACTTGTTTTGGGGTCGACTTTTTTCATCAAAAGCAACCGTTTTGTTCCCATACACTTAAGATGAAAAAGATTTCCCGTTTCAAGTAAATTGGTCACAATGAGTTAACTTTTAATATTTTGTATAAAAAAGGACAACATCCCAAAATTATGAATTAACTTCCGTATTTGATTATGCATTTTGTAAACACATATACTTCTATATCCAAACATTTATTAAAAGTATAACAAAGGTGAGGTTATACATAAAATTAAAGGCTATTTATAAGACCAGAATGTAAATAGGACAATCATTATTGAATCATATGTTGTAAAGTCAGTCTTCAACATAAACAGTTTTTACACAATTTAATAGTGTTGTATCCAATTTCAAAAAGATACAGGTGAAAGATTTTATTTTCACAAATTGTATATAAGGCACAGAGATCATAAAATCTTTGTTTTCAGATAGTCAAATATGAAGCCGAGTGTCAGCTGTCTATTATTATTTGTCATTGGATATGTGCAAGGATTAGGGAAGACAATACTTGAAGGAGATGTGTTCATTGAATTAATCGGAGCTATCTATGTTGAACCGGGAAACGAAATAAATTCAACTTGTAGAAATATTGAGGCAGAGACCGTCCAAAATATCCAAGCAATTAAATGGACTTTGTCAAGACTTAATGATCTGAACTACATCAATAATTTGAAAATTGGTAAGTGCATTGTTCGTTTTACACAACACGTGTTTCTTGTTTAAGAGAATCGGCCCATCCCTATCTTTGGGGAAAGAGGCATATGCAAAAGAAAAGCAATTCATAACAGAACATAGAACTAAAAAAATTGATTTTCGGTTATCTGAAAGGCAAGTTGCCAAGTAGGCCCAGGCATTTTCATCTTACACAAGCAGATAATAATAACCGATCATCTGTGGGGTTGAGAGATAGACGTTTGAACAAAGCTATCAGCAAAGTCGACAAGGAAAAATGCTTTTAACTCTTCGTGCATTGTTAAAAATTATATTTACAGCATAGCTACAGCTTTTGCTGTCAAATGAACCAAAAAATACATTAATATCCTTATATTTTACCCTGTCTATATTCATAACGTTAAACACCCAACAAATGAAGTTAAAAAAAAATAATCATGTGAGGAAGCTATCCAGCTAGCTTACGGAACGTCGGTGGTTCTACTCAGGTGCCCGTTCGTGCCTGAAATAATGCACGGAAAGGCACCTGAGGTCTTCCTCCACCAGTAAAGCTGGAACGTCGCGATATGACCTATACTGTGTCGATGTGACGTAAAACCCAAAAAACAAACAAACTAAAAAAAAATGATGTTGAACGATGTACAATATAGACAATATAACAAATAACTAGAGAGTAACATAAGTAAACAATTTCAGGTTTACGTGTCAGTCCAACGTGTAAAAAGGAGGGTGAAGCTGAAAGGTTGGCTCACCAGCTTGCAACAGAATTGTATGAAGCAACAGAAGCTAGAATTGTCGGTAAATATTGTCTTTGCCTTGTTTTCCTTGTTATTGTTGTTGTAAATGCTTCTGTTTCTGCCTTTTTGTTTGTAATGCAGTATCTTCTAGTTATTGCTTTTTTTAGTGAAAAGTTTCTAAAGTTTATTGCAAAACTTATCAGAATTTCCCAAATGATTACAAACACATTTGGTCGCCTACACCTGATGGCAATTTTCATATGTATACCCGTTTTGATCTCATTTCAGGGGTTATTGGGTCTGACTACAGTTTCGAGACCGATGCGATCTCTCGTCTGCTCAGTTCCTTGCCGGAGCGAGATCGTCTGCTACAAATGAGTTACTCTGCAACCTCAGCGTCTCTTCGGGACCGAAACATCTACAAAAATTTCTTTAGAACTATCCCACCCGATGATATACAGGTTGAGGTAAATAAAAAACTATGTTCCAATATAATTGCCGAGATATCGAGAGAACTGTATGTAATTTAATGAATATTTCTTAGTCAAATTTTTTTATAGCTGGTTGAATTGTCTTTGTATATAGCTTTAGGTTCGCCGCCCAAATATATCAATTAGGAGAACATTTGATTTGTATTCCATGCGTCGCTGGTTCGATCCTTGGTTTAAGCAAAATTTCTCCATAATACATGTAACTGATCTTTAACATTATGTTTAATGGTCCTTTGTTTGTTACCACTGATAAAGAAATCATGAGGGACTAGTAGTGGGTCATGTGCGGAGAAATTGGTAATCACTAGTACATTTTTCAATAAAGCCGGTTAGAAGGACCGATTGCCTGGATATGACCACAAATGTGATAAACACGGCGTAAAAAATATCGCTTCATAGCTTATTAATGATCAAACATTTGAGATATTATACGTAGTATGCCCTCTGCAAACATCTTATATACAATTACAAATAGGAAAATATAGACAAAATATTTCTAGTCTATATTATTTGGCTAACATGTTTTTCCCATCATTTTATTTGAGCTGCCTATTAAACTAAATTTAAGATTTATTCGTTCCAGGTCATGTTGAAATATCTCGAAATTCTTGATTGGACGTACATGGCTATTATACATGATAATGAGACATACGGACGTGGTGGAAGGGATGCACTTATGGAAAGAAGTCGGGGACTTGACGTTTGTTTTCCTATTCAAATTGCAGTAGATGAGCTGAATATTGACACAGTTAAACTTGAATCTGATATTAAGCAAAAGATAATTGATGCAGATATACCTGTAAATGGTATTCTTGTTTTTGGAAATTCCGTTTTAGCGGATCAGGTTCTAGTTGCAACCGAAAATGTTATTGCATCTTTACCGAATGCGACACGTCCTGTATTTCTATTTTCCGAAGCCGGAGGTTATATACAAGGACATCATACAAATATTTCAAGAGGGGCGTTTGTGCTTAGTCCTCCTAGAAGAAGCATTGAAGACTTTAGGACTGAATGGGTCAACATTCTGACAGATACAACACGACTGTATCAGGAAATTAAATCAAATACTTGGATAAGAGATGTATTTAGATCTAAATTCGACTGTGAATTAGCTGACATTGAACAAAACCATAATTGTCCTCAACTATCTGCGTCAGAAATAAACAGCGTTACGCCTGATTCAGTGTACAACCAATATGCGATACAGACAGCAATGGTCATCGCTAAAGTTGTAAAAACAGTTTACGAAAACAAATGTTCTGGTCAAGTCAGTGTATGTGATGCTTTCCTTGATAGTGTCAAGACACCAAGGCAGGAGTTTATAACGAGTTTAACACAAATACCGCGGATAAATTTTGACAGTTTTGAAAATTTCAGAGTGAAGGAGTTTCAGAATCCAGACATAATCGTAAGTTTTGGTGCTACTTGCGAGGTCAATATTGATGATGGATTTCCAATTTACGAAGTTTACAACCATCAGAGATGTGATGCTCTTCCATTTTGTCTTAAAAACGTAAGTGTTTAAAGTGATGAATTTGCAACTGCAAATGTCCCCGTTCAGTGTTGTAAAATGTTAATATGCACATAGATGTAAATAAAACCAATACAAAAGGTCACAACTGTTAAAACCTTTAACCTACTAAATGGAAGAAATATATGACAAACGGATTTTGAAAAGAAAATCATTCTAAATTTACTACATTTCGATAAATAAAACAGCGTGTGTTCAGTATCATTTTCTGAAATTTATCTAAATACATGTAGTTGCAAAAAATAATGAGGCATTGTCAGTGCAGTAGTACAAGCATTAAAATACAGATTAAAATACAAAGTCCACTCCTTGGTTTTTGTGTTGTTACAGCGACAAAACGTAAACATGAGTTTAAATGTTGTTCAGATGTGTACATAGACTTACTTAGCAGATAGTACTTCCTCACGAATACCTTTCTTATTGTGAAATTAATAACATACTTGTTATGTGTTTTGTCAAATCATTAAGGAAGTTTACAGACTTAAGTAATGTATTTTTTAAATATAAATTTCGAGCCTTAAAAGTGTGATAAGCAGACTTTTCATTTCCAATTACTTTCAACCGTTTAGTAAAAAACTAAAACTACTTTTGATTTCCTTTACATCAACTTATTATCTAAATCAAAAGAGATCTACAGAGAAATAAATAATTTCTGTATATCGTAGAATATATTCGTGAATGTATTTATCTGAGTAATTGTACAGATCTTACAAAAAGGGGTTCTCTTTTCAGGTTGCCCAGTACATATCGTCGGATTTGGAAGCAGCGACATCTGACATTAAAGATTATGACGAGGATGGGCAGGAGAAACTGTGGCCAAATATTCGAAAAGCACAATGTCCTGACGGCTCACTATGTCAACGTTGCGCCGAGGAAAAACTTGATGATTACCTGTTGTTTATTCCTGGTGACATGTATATAGTTGGTATTGTCCCAGTTCATAATAAAGGTTCAACGCCATTACAATGCGGAGATATCAAACACGGTGGGCTAGATGTTGTTGAGACCATTCGATTTGCTGTGACAGAGGCAAAAACAAAACCGGCAGCTGATATTGGAATTATAATAGTTGATAGTTGTAATGATCCTCAGATTATCCAGGAGAAAATATTAACATTACACAGACTTGGTGTGTATAAAGACGGTAAGTATATATATGTTGGTGATAAAGTCCTTGGCTATATTGGAGGATGGTCCAGTGATGTCAGCAAAGCTGTTGCAGAGATAACATCACGTTTAGGTTATCCGCAGATAAGTTATGCATCAACAGCACAATCCTTAAGCAGACGATCAACGTACCCATACTTCTTACGTGTGCCAAGTGCAGACTCAAGACAAGCTGAAACTATTCTCCGACTTGTTCAAACGCTTGCAGGGAACTTCATCCAGATTCTTTACAGCGAGTCGGAATACGGAGAAGGTGGAAGAAATCTTTTGCTAGACCTAATCAGAACATCAACTTTTGACCTATGTGTTGCACAAACACTTCCAATTTCAAGAAACAGTGACAAAGCTACTATTCTTTCTAAAATGAGAATGTATCCTCAAGCTAAAATTGTGGTTTTATTTCTTGGTTCTTTTGAAATCGAATACATGATCCAGACTTTCAATACAATCTCCAAGAACGAGTTTGTATTCATAAGTTCGGAAGGTATGGGTACAAGAATTGATATAAGTAACTACAGAAATTTGATTGGCACTTTAACAATAACGTCTCAACTGACAATAAACGAAAAACTCACGGACCATTTGAAACATCTACAGCCTGATGGTTCAAATATTGATGCTTGGATCCGGCCATACATGGAAATGGTGTTCGACTGTTACTTTCAGTGGAGTTTCAATAAAACTTCAAACAAACTGTGTTCGTAAGTATAAAGATTAATGTATAACTAATTAACGATTCATGTTTTTAAAAAATCATCCATTTTTTAAAGTTTATCATTTACTGATACTTAGAAAAGCAATAATTGCGTTCATTTATTTAAAAAAAACACACAACATATTTTGTATTTAACAATATGCAGTTATGCAGAATGAGTATTTGCAGCCTTATCGTTTCTCTGTAGTACAGTATCAATAACGGTAATTTTGAGGTCCAGTTTCGAGCGCGTTTGACTGCTTTGAGATAATAACATTGATTACTTTTATCATATTGAGCAAGTTTCGTGAACGTTTCTCAGTTTTGTTGCATTTTTATCTCGAATTTTATCCTGCTTTAGATTGGGATTGTTAGTTTCACTGGTTTCAGTAAAATGCGTATTGTGCGACATGCAGTGAAATTTTATTAATATAAGCACTCAAATGATTTATAGACTATATTAAAAAGAGTCAATATATTTAAAGGAACATGCATATAAGATATGAATTTGACATCATAAAGTATTTCATAGAAGGTTTTCTTTGTTGACATAAAAGAACATTATAGAGAAAACCCTACATCATTCGTGAAGACAAATTATTCAGATGAGGTGAACAGTTCTGATTTTTGACCAGTTGATTAAATATGTTTGAACAGATTTGACATAAAAATTCACAACAGTTTGAATGATTAGGGTTTTTATTGTATAAAACGATTATGTAGATATGTTTTTGAAAACAGTTTGTTTTCATTAGGAATGTTGCGTTTATCTTTTTATGTGTAATGTTGTTGAATATTTTCAGCGGAATGGAATCTCTCGATGTTTACAAAACAGATTTTAGAATAGATGCATGGGCACCATTTGCTGAACGGGCTGTCACTGCGCTATTGGAAAGCGCTGAAAAAGCTCTAAGAGACAAGTGTAATGGTAACACCGGTGCAATTTGTTTCCAGTACAGGAACAATACTTCTTATGTAAGACTTGTTTTATTTTTTGTAATATTTTGTCCTCAATTAAGTTATTTACGGATATCATTATTCTGAAAATAAAATTAAATGTAATTGGATTTGATGAACATATTTCAATGTTCCCGCATCGATCAAATAGAAAATATTCAGAAAAACGAGTACTTATGACTTTGTCTTTAAACGCGCACCTACAACGCATCTGGCGATGTTTGAAAATTCTTACTTAAACGTCATTTTCTTGATTAAAATTCATGTAGAATTTTACGTAAGCTGCTGTTGTGGGCATTGGCGGTATAGTCGTCCATGAACAGTCTCAATCAAACCAAGTCCGTACAACATTTTCAGTTCTGCCGTTTTGAGCGTTTCGTATGTTTCCATTTTATCAATTGTATCAAGATTTGTTTTTGTAGGTGTATGAACAAATAAAGAACTATGAACGTTTAGGAAGCAGTGGTTTCAGGTCAAGAGTGTTTGATGATAATGCTGATGGTACGGCAGGTTATCAAATCTACGTCATCGATGTTGATTCAATCACTGGAAAGGCAAAATATAAAAAGGTATTTCTGATAGTAAACCTTGTTGTATTTCACTTCAGCAGATTGTGGCCAGATATTTTACAGTGCTGCATTTATTTACAAATGTATGACAAAGTATGAAATTTAAAAACATGTATAGAAATTTCATATCAAGCTGTATTGATGTTTAATACATGTTGGACCTTTGAATCTTAAATATTTAATAGTTAACCGATATTAGATTAATTGGCCGAAAGTATTTATACCCCAACAAACAAAGTTCAAGTCAGCTTGTCTGTCGGTCTGTCGATTGACTTCATGATTTCCGGTCAATAACTAAAGTTTAGATTGAGTTATTTTTTATAAAACTTGGTATATAGCAAGTTTACATTAAGACCCTGTTTGGGATTGCTTTTGGACCCCATGGAGTCAAGGTCACTACTACTACAAAAAAATTGGTTTCCAATTGATAACTGAGTGTAATGAGGAAATGTAATCGAACTTGGTATATAGCAAGTCTATATGAAGACACCGGTTGGGGTTGTTGTTGGATCCCCTGGGGTCAAGGTCACTGTTACTGTAAGTAGAAAAATGGCCTTTGGGCGATAACAATAGTTAGCAATGAGTTATGGTAATCAAAGTTGGTATATTATATGGATCCTCTTGGTCAAGGTCACTGTTACTAAAAGAAATTTACAAAGATTAGGGTTAACAGATGATTACTCACCTTTAATAGGACAATTAATTGTAATAAATATTAGTTCACAGATGGAACACCATAAATATCAGATCGAGTTCAAATTTTGCCTCAGGTCACGTTTCAAAAGGTTAGATGATAGGGTAATGAATCACCTTTAGTGATAGCTCTAATTTTGTTTGTTCTGTTTTCAGATAGGTGACAGTACGTTAAGCATTGATGGCAGTAACTCTGTGGCTGTTACATTCCAAACCGCTTTGTATAACACCGTTCGGGGTGCTGTGGTCAACTCAACATGCACTAGTACCATTGACGTTTGTAACACTTGCTTTGCAACACCACCAGGGTATGGTTCAGTGTATGTTTTGATTCATTGCATGGATGTGTTGGCTAATTTTAGTCTGCACTGGTCGCATAGGTATAATTTGTTACCGCCAGCAGGCTAAAAGTCAATACAGATTCCATTATCTAAAGTAGATTTTCTTATTAGACATATTCCAGTCATTCAACGTATTTTTCTCTTTTTCATTTGTTTTACTACATGTAAATTCCTCAGTTATTTAATAGTGTTTTTATCCTTTTCTTTATTTGACATTGAAATCGCTGAAGGTAGTTTTTCTGTAAATTTTAGAGTACCAGGTGAACCCAATTTACCAGTTGGTGTTGTAATTGTCATAGTATTACTGGGTATTATAGCTTGTGTGTTGGGTGGAATCTTACTGTTCATATGTAACAGACATGGTTGTTGCTTAAGAATAGGTAAGTTAGATTTGTTGTTTAAGAATAGGTAGGTTCCATTTGTTTATAGATAACTTTCAGCGGCTGCATAAAATCTAAAAATTTAGCTTAACTTAACTTTCTATAGGACAAACACATTAGAAATAGGTTTTAAATAATTATAAAATGTTATGAATGTAGATGTTCACAATCATTCAACCTTAGCTTTTCTTCGGGGTATTCCCCATTATGATATCAAACAGGATTCAAACTTCAGTTTGGATATTGTTTTCACAGTACATCAGACTCCACTTAAAAAGTACCACGTGCACCTCTGTAATGCCTTCCCACTAAAGGCACAATGCAATGATATCCCACAGCGACACATTATACTGATTAATGGCAAACTTCCAACTCCATTCTTTAATAATGGCGTTGACCAACGCCGTCTGTAACTTGTATCACGGAAATAATAAAAAGGCTTTCCAATATTGCATTGTTTGGTTGTAAGATAAATGAATTGGTGTTAAATACTGTCAAACTAATGAACACATTGATGGTATAAAGTTAAATAATAATAACATTATATTTTCCATAACGAATATTAATACAAATCAAATGCAAATGGATATTCTAATGCCAAAGGATCTTGAAATTCATAGATTTGGATTATGCTGAGTAATTGAAGGTATTTATTTTCGATTATTTTAGAAAATGGGAGACCAAAATTTACTGCCACATATCTCACTCCTGTGTATGCACATGAAAGAAACGCGCATGGTGTTGATGGCACAGATTCTCCTCAGCTAGACGAGAATTATGACAGCATACCGAATTCTAGCGCAGTCTCGTACAACAGATCGCAGGCTTCGTCTTACTCTAGAAGACCGCCAACTTCGGACGGAGGTTCATCTAGTGCAAGCAGTGGGGGAATGGGAATGCATGACAGTGGCGGGAATTTTGTCACGATCGGAAGAGAAAATGTCGCGTTTGAAAACGATAGTGGTGTTGGTACCGGGCGCCAGCCGAGTTTGGCTGGTAGCCAGCATACGGGCAGTAGTGGTGGATTGTCTGGTGTACGTAATGATAGCTACATGTCAGAATCTATCCCCGTAGCTCATAGATTCACAAAGCCTGCCCCAGCTCCAGCACCGCCTGCCCGTGGTGCAGGAGTTTTGTATCAAGCAGACGGAAGTTATATCACAGCTAACTTAAATTCGGAAGATAAGACCAGTGGGGAATCTCACACTGACCGGTCAAGCAAAAACAGTGACCAAAGTCTGGGCTATTTAAGAAGCGTTCAGACGACCGAAAATAACCGCGTATAGGATTTTTAATGATGTCAGAAGCTTTATGATTTTTATTTGAATTTTGATATAAATTTTATTCGATGGAAACTGCAGACTAGAGAAAATGCAATTATTTTTTTCTTTTCATGTATTAATCAAAAATGTGTTTGCTCATTTTACATTTCAAATTGTATTGTTAACGAAATTCTTCCGTATTTTACAAGGCATTCTTTATACATGTACTATTTTTCTGTTTTAATCAGAGATGTAGATCACAGAAATTGTATTATTTTACTGATTTTGATATCTGGTTAATAAGTTTTACTTGCTACGCAAACACGCGTGATATCTTAACCGTCTAGGAAGTTGCTTATCTCTGTTATCTATGTCTCTGTTTTATTAATGGCCGACCTGCGGCTTGTTTTGTTTAAAAAATCTTTCAATGTATTTAACATCATTGATGCAATGACTTACTCAACTATAATTATGTAATTTGTTCTAATTGTATATGCATTAGTCATTTGTATCCTGTCCCCCTCAACCTACCGCCACCGCTGGGGAAAATCAAATTCCCTACCGGAACGCGGAGACAATATCACACGGCAAAAGCCTTCCTTAAAAGCTTTTGTTAAGCTAAATATCCCGCTTTACGTTCTTGTGCAAAAACAATTATCGCATCATTTAATGGGCGAGAAAGAAAAAACATGGATCATCCTCCTCCGGGAATGGGGGTCATATTTACAAATGACATATGTATTATTTACATTTTCCTGCTTTGTGACATCATCATCTTATGATAAATACACAAGATCTTCTTTGTGTGACATGTGTCATCAAAGATCCTGTATGTTGTAATTAAGTGTGTAACACTTATTTAAGTGAAATTTCTTATATATTTTATGTGCATAATCAATCTTCTAAAACAATTTCCAAACATCTATGAATGAGTTAAATATGTACAACAAATGTTTATATAAAAATAATTAAACGATAAAGGTAATGCATTCAGTTTTATTGTAAAAACTGGCTTGGACTTTATCGAAAATAAATTTCTTATTACCTCCCTTTATTTAAATGCAATGTTAAAGAGTATAAATCTATATCTTATGAAATATTTTTATAAAATTTATCAACAATAAAATTATATTGGTTCCATTATTATATGGTTGGGTTGGTTCCCGAAAAAGTTGTAACATAGAATGTCCTTGTTATTTAATACACATGAATAATGTACATAAACAGAATAAAATGTTCCAGAACAAAATATTATTTCGCTATTTTAAGTAGGGTTTTATCCGTTTAGCAATGATTATATGCATGCGCCACTCACTTTAAGGCAATTAATTACCATATTTATTTCATACAAGCATTTTGGCAGTATTCTTTTTTTTAAATCCAAACAATAATTTTTGTATCAGATATATAGCTTTATACACTTTAAATTCGGTTATATCTTTAGAAAAAAATGCTTTTTGAAACTTACAATATTGATAAATGTTCATTTGAGCATCAGATTTATGATATAAAACCATAAAAATGCGTTGCTTTAAGTAGCGATATCAATTTGTGAACTACTATCGTGTAATTAATTTAATCGGATATCTGCATATTGTGTGGTCCCTTTGGACGGTGTGGTGTAAGTCACTGACTGTAAATCATTTGCCCCTCATCACTATGAGTTGGAATCTCGCCGTGGATTTTGGATCCCTATGTGTGATGAGGCTATCCGGCTAGCTTACAGTAGGTCACGTGGTTCTACTAAGTGCATGATCGTCCGAATAGAAGGTCCACCATATGATCTTTATAATAATAATAATGTATTTTAATATGAGATCTTATATTGTCAATTATGTTGTCGCATCACTGTCGTAATTATAGTATTATTTTATATGAAATCCATGTTTTATAGTATTTTGTATCGTTGATTTGTTTCTTTTTAAATTACTGTACATGTATTTTTAAATGCGATAGCTATCTTTAAAAACAAGGAAAGAAAAAACATCTTAAGCGTGTGCTGTGTTTTACATGCAAGCGTGCATTTCTAAGTGTTTTATTGTACTCTCCCCCACTCCATCCCTGACCCACCTCCCCAAGAACAATGCCACGGGAGCTATACTGGCATCACCATGACCAAATTTAGATGTGTCTGTCTGTGTGACTGCCTAGTATTTGAAACTTTACATGATTACGTTTTACAATTATTAAAGCCTTGTATGTGTTTGTATGACTTTGATTATTTCATTTTGTATTATCCAAATATTGCATCCATGGACAAAAAAAATATTCTTGCAAATATCGGGCAATTTTACTTTTCAATTTTCAAGCATTAATTGTATCATATATTTCTGTTTAGCCCTTAATTTTCCGGCATCTAGACTGACGTAGCCTATGTCACCAGTATAAATGCACATCCTAACCAGGCTGTCTAAACTTTTGCATTTGAGAAAAAATACCTTAATTTAATCTTCAAATGGACTGTTCCAATTTCAAAGCAGGGCAAATCCATTACAAAAATTCAGCAGGGTATAAGGTGTTAAGAGTTAGTGTGTTCATATATTATTATGTAGAACATTTGAGTCCGTCACGCGCACTTGTGTAATGTAAGTTGTTTACATTTGTATTGTAATTTATTATATGATCTAAAAATAGCTGCAATCTCATTGGTCCAAACTGTAGTCAACAGAACTTTTTATAAAATCATATTCACTGGGTGTAGTATCATATTCACTGGCTGAATTGGATTTTCCAAGTCTAAAAATAGATTGAGACTCATATTCAATGACCATACACCGTAGACTGTTAATTACGTGTGTTAATTAAAAAATAATTGTTGCGTTTTGTTCTTTATGGCATATTTCTCAATTGAAATATCATTACTTTACTGTTATACTAAAAGCCTAAACAGCATCGATGAGTATAAACTTGAATTACTTTTGTATGCGCAGCGTTCGTGTAGTTGTTGCACGCCTCGCACGTGCGTCTTTTTTCCCGCGCTTCAACGAGGCAAAAATTTGTACATGTATATAAGGTTGTACTTTTTCGTGATTTTTTTAATCCTTAGCCTATTCATATAATAAAACAATTATTGACTAGTGAGCCATTGAATATGATGTGATATTCACCGGCAGAAAGTCATATTGACCTCGGCTATCGCCTCGGTCAATATGTCATCTGCCGGTGAATATCACATCATATTCAATGGCTCACTAGTCAATAATTGTATAATAAATGATATCGAAGATATTTATCACATTGTTTGTACATGTATTTGCCTTTACTATAGACGTATTAGAGTAAAATATATTAAGGAATATTATTATGCTAGACCATTAAACAATTATTGACTAGTGAACCATTGAATATGATGTGATATTCACCGGCAGATGACATATTGACCGAGGCGATAGCCGAGGTCAATATGACTTTCTGCCGGTGAATATCACATCATATTCAATGGTTCACTAGTCAATAATTGTTTTATTATATGAATAGGCTAAGAAATAAAAAAAAATCACAAAAGTACAATTTTATATACATGTACAAATTTTGCTTCGTTGAAGCGCGGGAAAAAAGACGCACGTGTTAGGCGTGCAACGACTACGCGAACGCTGCGCATACAAAAATAATTCAAGTTTATACTCATCATTGCGGTGTTACCTTTAAGTATAATAGTAAAGTATTGATATTTTAATCGAGAAATATGCCATAAAGAACAAAAAGCAACAATTATTTTTTAATCAACACGCGTAATTAACAGTCTACGGTGTATGATCATTGAATATGAGTCTCAATCTATTTTTAGACTGGGAAAATCCAATTCAGCCAGTGAATATGATACTTTATTTTATGCTTTTCAGTGGATTACTGATTTATCCGTGAAAATTATATTTGGTAATTTCACAGTGAAAATTATCAAAATATAATTTCACTCTTTTCAATGACGAAACTACTTTTTTAAGATTTTCCCCATGTGGTACCTCAATTTTATTTTTGCTGACAATTCTGACAATGTCAGGCTATTTAAAGAAAAAGCAAAACTGAAATTGATAAATAACTTAAATGTCAAAAGTAATAAAAAGAAGAAAACTTACTTCTATTCATTCAAATTCATGAAATTCCAATCACCAAATTTCGTTTTTTTGTTTCATTTTGACAGTCTCAAAAATACATTCCTTCCCCATGCAAAACTGCTCTTAATGACATTTGGGCATATTAAAGTATCCTACGAGCAATAACTGCCGTATGATTTATGAAAAATTGAAAGCATTGACAGCCATAACTCGAAGAATAAGTTAAATCAACCCAGCGTTCTTGAGCAGGTTTCCAAGTTTTCCATTTTCCTAGCTCCTTTTCTGAATGTTTTCACATCTGTCAACACTTATTTTTTGTCTGTTACAATCCTCAAATAAGTTTTCTTTCTTTTAAAAATGTGTATGACTAACAAATCCAAATTATATCCCTCTGAATCTTACACAATTATTTTCCTCCCATGAAATACACAACTTTAAAAAATGGCTGCCGCTTACAATTTACAAAGCCAGGTCTAATATAAATTCGCACTAAGTAACAGAAATATGGATGGATGGTTGGACTTTTTCTCCTACAAGAATTGTTTGTTTTTATTATCAAAACAAGCGATCATTCATATTTTTTTAATAAAATTAATAAATATCACCGTCATTTAATGTTGATTGGCGGACTTATTTTTCAGCTCAAGACTTCTTTTTTTTAATGAGAAATTCCGAATAAATGGGGCTCTCAATGGGGGAAACAGTTTTAATATTAACGTTAAAATTATGGAAATTTCGTTTTAACTTGTTTTTAAGCATAAAATAAAAAGAAAATTTGTCTGTTTGTTGTGTAAGATGTAATTTTATTTCATCTCGTGAACTTTAAAAACAGTATTCTCACTCGTGGCTTCGCCACTCGTGAGAATACTGTTTTTAAAGCCCACTCGATGAAATAAAATTTCATCTTACACACAAACAAACAAATATCCTCTATACATCCAGTGAATATGATTTTATAAAAAGTTCTGTTGACTACTGTTTGGACCAATGAGATTGCAGCTATATTTAGATCATATAATAACTGTCTTTAATTCTATGAACTGTTAAACAGTAGAAATAAAAAAGATCTATGTAGTTTTGCATTATTCTTAAAGGAAACTCAAACTTCGATGTGATATTAGTATAACTGAGCGGTTAATATTGGTTTAAGTTTTAAGTTTAATTTCACTCTCCACATATACATAATGATCGAGATGCTAGTAATGTACAAGTATTGTTTGTAATCACTAACATGTATATTGTATGTCTGTTGTATATTCAGTATTAAATTTTGTAGACAACATACTATGTATAAGTTTTTAATAAAAGAATGTTCTGTTTTTTGTTCTATTATGTTTTGATATATTTTTGATATATATAGATATTTATTTCTATTGATTTGTCAACACAATTGTGCCATATTTTTGAACACCTAATACAAAATAAACTCAATGTTGTTTTTTTTTAACCCTTTCCCCCATGAGCATATTGTGAAAAATGGCCGTTTTCACTGAAAAGCCTCCTGTTACAAGTTCAAACTGCTATGAAACTATGAAAAATGCTTCAATACTAATCAAACTTGGCACAAATGTTGACTGGACCATTGCCTTTGTAACGACATGCTCAGTCTCAAATTTCCTGTTACCATGGCAACGAGGGGACATCTCAAAATTGCCAAAAATCACTATTTTGCCTCGATTTTTACCATCAAAATTTATTTCAAAGGGCTGCAACTTCTAAAGGGATTGAGATAGAGTCAAAGGCTTTTCAGCGTTGGTTAAACGTTACATTATGATCGACCTGGGGTCATTTTTAGCCTCTCACAAGTCCAAAATTTTCTTGGCGATGAGGGGGACTCCGCCCCCCTTCAAACCCCCCTAACAGAAGGGGGCACATCCCCCTTCTGGCAACCCCCTGATGTATCTTTTGGATGGGGGGCGGCGCCGAAAAAGTGCTCAATTTTTTTAGCAACATTTCTCAAACGAAAACTTATGTTTGGGGCCCAAATAGGACATTTTTTCACTATTTGAGGCCTAAAAAAGGGGGGGGGGTCGAAAGTGCGTTGTTTCGCGTATATATGTGGTAAAGGGTTAACAAAAAATGATGAAAAACTTTGGAATCACCTAAAAACTAGTTTTTCCATGTTAACATGTGGTCTTTCACCTAATTTTGGTGAAAAATTGTTGTTTTGTAACATTTATAATTTTTTTAGTTAACAAAAAATGATGAAAAACTTTGGAATCACCTAAAAACTAGTTTTTCCATGTTAACATGTGGTCTTTCACCTAATTTTGGTGAAAAATTGTTGTTTTGTAACATTTATATTTTTTTTAGTTAACCCTTTCCCCCATGAGCATATTGTGAAAAATGGCCGTTTTCACTGAAAAGCCTCCTGTTACAAGTTCAAACTGCTATGAAACTATGAAAAATGCTTCAATACTAATCAAACTTGGCACAAATGTTGACTGGACCATTGCCTTTGTAACGACATGCTCAGTCTTAAATTTCCTGTTACCATGGCAACGAGGGGACATCTCAAAATTGCCAAAAATCACTATTTTGCCTCGATTTTTTCCATCAAAATTTATTTCAAAGTGCTGCAACTTCTCAAGGGATTGAGATAGAGTCAAAGGCTTTTCAGCGTTGGTTAAACGTTACATTATGATCGACCTGGGGTCATTTTTAGCCTCTCACAAGTCCAAAATTTTCTTGGCGATGAGGGGGACTCCGCCCCCCTTCAAACCCCCCTAACAGAAGGGGGCACATCCCCCTTCTGGCAACCCCCTGATGTATCTTTTGGATGGGCGGCGGCGCCGAAAAAGTGCTCAATTTTTTTAGCAACATTTCTCAAACGAAAACTTATGTTTGGGGCCCAAATAGGACATTTTTTCACTATTTGAGGCCCAAAAAAAAGGGGGGGTCGAAAGTGCGTTGTTTCGCGTATATATGTGGTAAAGGGTTAATATTTTGTCTTTATTTACATTTTTATTATTTACAAACCACCGCTATGCACTCACTGAACTCCTCCAACCCATAGCCTATAGAAAGTGTACTGCTGCTGATTTAGGGAGAAAATGCATTTTACAAATGTGCGAATATTTTAGCTGCAAAACTAGCGTTATTTAGGTAAAAATCAAATAATATAAAGATAGATCGAATATAATGAGGAAGCGTTTCTTTTGATAAATATTGATAATGCTTATTTCATATAAAAATGTTGTAAAGGGCCAAAATTTATACTAAGATAAACAAACAAACAGTTCTAGAGTGTTTATCTTTGCTATAACTGATAGGTAGTTTTCTCCAAACAGTTTATACATATGAAGAAGAGCAAACTTGTTCTCCACAAACAGCATAATATATGCCTGAATGTAAAGATTTTGTTTGAGTTGTCAAAAATAATCTTTCAATTAGGATAGAGACCCAAACAAGAAACGTGTCTGAAAAACGATTTCTTTTAATAATCCTTATGATACTAGATCTATGGCTTCCAATGTGAAGGCATTTTTTACCTTATGTGCATGGTTCATAAAACTTATAAATAGAGGTCTACTAGGCAATGCTATATGGCAAATATAGAGGCATAGTATTTATCCACAAAAAGAGCGTATAAAAAAGATCCTAAAAAAATAACCTTCTACCTTCACCACTGTGCTTCACATCCGGTACGTTGAAATGTGATTTGTTTAATTGATACAAATTTATTTTAGTTCAATTGTGCTGGAAGTTATAAGCTTATTGAAACACTCTCGAATCCGTTCCTGAAACCAAACAGTACTAAGCAATGAATGTAAAGTTTCTTGCTCAAGGAAACAACGGCTTGCCCCTGACAGGGTTTGAACCTACGTGGTCAGCAATCCTTAGATTACTAGTGCAATACTTAGATTACTAGTGCAATACTTAGATTACTAGTGCAATACTTAGATTACTAGTGCAATACTTAGATTACTAGTGCAATACTTAGATCACTAGTGCAATACTTAGATTACTAGTACAATACTTAGATTACTAGTGCAATACTTAGATTAATTCCGAATATGAAAGCATAAACGTAACTATTTCTTCGAAAAAATAGAGACACTTAATTAATGACTTTCACAAACAAATGTAATCTTGAATAAACATAAATCAATGAATTTTGGTTTTGTTTGTTAATGAATATGGAAGATATCGTTTTAAGAAGTGTAATTTCATATATTAATTTGATATAGCGTGTATAAAAACATGTAAAATTTCAAGTGCCCAGTTAAAATTTTTAAAGAATATTTTCTTCGCGAATATTTAAATTTTGACAGATTTTTAATGATAAATCAAAACAGGGTCTTTCATCTTCTATTTGAAAGACCCTGATCAAAACAAGGAAAGTTACTATTTTTTTCGATGTTTAAAACCAAAATGTGTTTATCAATTCTGAGTGCATTGTTGTACATAGAATAATGCAGGGTTCGAGTTCAGACGTGTTGGAATAAAATCACGAACGTGTAATAATGCACTTGACTGCCTATCTTCATGATAGGCGATATTGCGAAGCATGTTAAAATAAAATATAGACCGGGTAACATATAAGAAAACATTCAAAAATTCGTGATAAAATGTTAATTACATTTAACACAGATATATAAACAATCTTTAGCTCCATGCATTTAAGAAGTTGATACGGCCTGGGACGTAATATAATTTATTCATGATTTTGTCCCAGATAGGGCTAAGCTATTACTTATTCCGTATGTTTCTGGAAACGAGCATGGTATAATATGTCTCTGGTTGTATACCAGTTCTTAGAACTATTTCAATTATATTAGCTTAATTTAATCTGGTCCGAAATAAACATTTTAATGACTCATTTCCAGGGTATTAAATAAAGATTTCTAAAAGGTCTAGTGAAGACAATAGTTTTGTGCAAAGCGCTAATCAAGTTAGACACAGAGCTGTATCTAAAACTGTAATAAAAGTCTCAAAGTTTAGATTCATATAATCCTAAACCAGACTTCTACAGATTTGGATCAATAGCTTTTAAATCATTAGGTAATTCACATAAAATTATCTATACATGTATGAGATATACTCCCCTTTAAAAATCAAGAACCTTTCCGCCTCTGTAAAGACATAAATTCAAATAAGAGACGTAACTTCTTATGCATTAATTATTCAAAGAACTATCAGTGTTGCTTCCCTTGCAAAGAGTTCTATTTTTTCGGTCAGATCCGAAATTAATCCGCATGATAAGATTAACGTTAATGATGGTATTTTCACTCTTATCATCGTTATTCTATGCCATTTTATTGCCAAATGATGGTCAGCTGTACATCTGTTGGGGATACAATAATCTGATATCTGATCAAAGTTGTAATGGAACAGGATATAGGGAAATCTGATCAGTATGGATTATTTTTTATCTCGTATGAAACCACCAAATTATTGAATAAATATGTGCGGTCGCGTTGAGCCTGCGTTAGTTGTCATTTCGGCAGCAAAGAGGGTCCACGTTATTTATCATGCAAAAAAGCCTTATTCAAAAGATTTTTAAATTGACAGTAGTTTCGCAAATTAATGAAAAACATGGAGGAAGCGATGATGGTAGCGGATTATTCACAGGGTGATCACAAAATGAAATTTAATGACAAGGAAAACAATAGAGGGGACACCCCTAACTTGGAAGAGTCCAATGTCAAGACGAAGGAAGAATGTAAACAAGACGATGACAACAAAAAAGCCTTACGGGACACAGATTACGGTATGTCACTTTGTAAAAATGTTTGTTTTATCAGCAGAGCACTTTTATATTTTACTAAATCAATTAAAGATTGTAAACTGTTTCGTTTTGATGTAAAATATTACAGATTATTGAGTTAATTGTAGCGCCCGTAACGCTTCGCCTGGCATGCATCTGGTGTCCTTTGACCCTTGTGGCCGCTTTCTAGTTTCTAAAGGGAGTAAAGTAGACGCAATGATTCTACTATTTGCATTTGCACTGCCACTTGTCAATATCTTTTATGAAGACCTTAAATTATTTGTTGAACAAACTTTATCAAATCGACTGGAAGATGTAGATCTAGAAATAAGGTGATGCTCATTAAAAAAAAACATGTAATAGAAATTTATCTTCTTATTAATTAACTTGAAAGACATTATGTTCCCCAATAGAAGGGAAGTGTTTTCAGTCCAAATCAGTTGGGGCCAGGGAGTTACAAATGCACTTATTCTTTAATTTTCAATTTCTTTTCTTCATATCAAAATAAATATACTGTACTAGAGTAGAATAAATAGACTCTATATTAGTTGTAAGGAGTATCAACTAAAGTGGATAAATTGTTCTTTGGATCTTGAAGGAAGAGTCTTCTTTCTTTACAGGGAAAAATTTTGAGGACACAAATGGAGACAGTCCAAGTGATTCCGGCAGCAATCCGGATAACCGAAGGAAAAAGAAGCATCGTCGCCGCAACAAGGGAGGCAAAAACCATAGGCGATGGAAACCGTACGATAAAATGAGCTGGACTGAAAAACAGGAACTGGAGGAAAAGGAAACTAGACGAGCAACTCAAAAGCGTGAAGAGGCGTTTGCATCGGGACATCCTGTAGCACCTTATAATACTACGCAGTTCCTCATGGATGATCATTGCAAGAATGAGGCAATATCTCCTGATCTCCATAGACATAATTCAAAAGACTCTAATCCGTCTAATGATTCAGATTCTTCATCAGAATTTTATGACGATGAGGAAAACGATGGTTTTCAAGAAAAGAATTTCATGGACACTTTCAATGATATTCGTATGCAAGAGCTTTTGAATAAGAGCAAAGAAGACTTGGTTCATGACTATGTGGAAATGGAGATGAAACTGGAAAGAGTCGAAGAAAAGAGAAAAAGGGAAGCATCCAGTTCTGACCTTAACTCTTCAGGAAGTAGCATAGAAAGAGACGTAAGCTATAAAGAGTTTTTAAAACTGTTGGAAGAAAATGAAAAGTTGAAGAAAGAAAATCATGCTTTACTAGCCAGGATAGATAATGTGAAAAAATAGATTTTAAGTGGACTTCCTTCAAAAGTCTGTGTTAACTTTTCATAACAAATATGCAGTTATTGTTTGCCTATATTAATGAACATGTATGAGATATGTTTAAAAATGGCATTTACACTTTTAGTTATTATTTGAAGAGTTACATGCTTATGACAAGAGAAGTTTCTTTTGATTTTCCTGTCATTTGTAGTTGTAAAGCAGCAATTGCATGCCTCCAGATTTATATAGGTTTGCTCATCTAAGAGCACTTGCTATCCAAAGAAATGACCACTGCATATCAAAAAGTGCTGAAAGTAAAGGGAAATTTTTTTTAATTTATTCCAAACAATAGATTGATAAGCATGTATATGGACTTGTATTTCTTGTTATTGTACTATTAAAGATGTTATTACTGTGGTCTCTGTTTATTTAGAAAATGCATTAATTATATTTTACTTTTTTACATGGATGTTTTTATGCCAATTATGTTCATATTTAAAAATGTTTGTAAAAAAATAATTCCTGGATGTCATTCCTTTATATCCATTTCAAACCATAATTAGTGACAAGAAATGTCCTAAAATAGCAGAGTAAAGGTTGCTGCTTAATCAAAGTTTAAGGTTCATCTACATATTACTCCCAAACATCTTGATATACTCGAGGTTTTTGGCGGGGATGTATATTTTCTGAGCATATTTTAGATTTTTTTCGGGTAAATTTTATTGTCCTAATTAAGCAAGGATATTTTAAGATCCTGAAAAATTTGAGTCTTTGGAGTGGGATATAAAAAGATTTTAAGCTTGTTTTTCATGACATGTTTGTTCAAAGAAAAGTTGGTTGTTTTTTTTTTAAAGAAATTACAACCTATTTTAATAGTGTTCTAAATTTAATGCTGTAATTTATAGCATGAAAGTGTGGTGTAAAAATCCAGGAATTATTTTTTGTACATAGATATTAAGCATGTTTACATATATTTTAAATGCAAGTTTATTTTGATTTTAAAGGAGCCAAGTATGCAAAAGGCAGGAATTTAAAGTATCCATTGATACGGAAATAAATTGAATATGTTCCTTTTAATTGACTCTAAAGTTGCACTTGCATGTAAAAAAAGAGTCGTGTACAAGTTACTTCATATGTATTTTTGGTTACAAATCTATTTTTAGAAATCAATGACTATGACATTTGCAATATAAATAAAATGATAATGCTCTTATTCAAAGGCAAATTACGTAGGAAGGTTTGAAGTTATTTATAATTGTTAGAAGAATTATAAGTACATGTATACATATATTTTTGTATGTTCTAAAATTAAACATCTTGTTAATAGAAGTTGTGGTTTAAAAGCCTTTTAATTATGTTTACATGTAGGAAAATTTAACAGTTCAGATAACATCTTGTTCATGTTTATAAAAAATATTGAGGTGCTTGATGGGGGTGACGAGGGGGTGTTTATAGGAAAGTTTGTAGGTCACACATAGTTGTTGGATCAGTGCTATCATTGTGAATCACCCTTAAAAGTATAATTTGATTTATTCTATTGGAGCACTTAATGTTTTACAATAATGCACCCGCCGGTTGAAAACCTGAAATATCTCTGCTCTGTGGAAGACAAATCGTATTGTAATAGTCATTGTCAATTTCCCCCTTGTGCTGATCAGTTTATATCTTCAGCTGTCCTAGTATATATAACCATGTGCATTTGACCCAATTATATAGGCTCAGTTAGAAGATTAAAACTCAGCACTTTTCTTCTGCTATTCTGTGTACACTTGGGTTGGGGGAGGGGGGATCAGGGGTGTCTTTGATTCTATGTTGAATTATAGTATGTAAAGAAATGGTAAAGGAAGTTGATATTTTTAAGGGAAAAAGTACTTGGCTTCTTTAAAGTGGAAATGTGAGACAAATAATGTGCCAGTGGAGGTTTCCAGTGTTGCTTTTTGACACAGCCTCCTTAAATATTAAAAAAAAAAGATAAAAAAAATAATCAAAGACACATAAAAAAAATTCAAATCATGCATTTGTTTTTATTTTATTATCATTTAGGTCATTTGGAAATTAAACATTGTTTTTTCGTTTGCTAGGATTTTAAAATACAAAGTATTTTTCTTTGTCATGTACATTTTATTGTCATTTTCTCTATATTAGCGGGTTGGTGGTTTTTCCTCCCCCGCAATAAAATGTACTTTAAGTGCACAAAAGTTATTTGTTAAGCATTTTACCACTGTCTTTCAAACAATATCATTTCATTAAACATGACATGTACATTATACTTCATTGTACAAATGAGTATGTGAAAAAGAAAATTTTTTTTGATTATACATGTAGTTTGATCTATATGAAATTGTGGTGAAAAACAAATGTACTAGAAAATATAGAAAATATATTCATGTATTTGGGATAAAATGAATAACTGTTAATGTCTGTTTTTTGAATGCATTTACATTATAATCTAGAAATCTGTGAATGATTTTGTGAAAGTTAATGGATGTGACCAGCTTACGTTCACTGTTACCTGCTTTAGTTTTTGCTTGATTTCATAGTGTTCTGGTGGAGTTCTTAGTCTTTTGCCTCAAAATTTTTCATCCACTGAGAATGTGAAAGTTGAAAATTTCTGACAGTTTTTTGTTTTGCAGCATATATTGTCCTCTGTAGCGTTTATTTATTTAACCATTCATTTAAATGTTGTATCTACCAAAATGGATGTGACCAGCTTACGTTCACTGTTACCTGCTTAAGTTTATGCTTGATTTCATAGTGTTCTGGTGGAGTTCTTTGCCATAACTTTTTTCATCCACTGAGAATGTTAAAGTTGAAAATTTCTGACAACTCATTAAGGGATTAAATTTTGGGAAAATAACAAGATGTTTTGCAAAAGGGGGTTAAAAAAACTTGATGTAAATATAATTTTTGGGGCATACTGCATGGTTTTCAAGAATTTTCTTTTTGAAGGCAAACTTCCCATTATATGGCCCCCTTCTGTAGAAAGTAAAGAGCCCTGTATTAAAACTAACCTGACGCATAGATAAATATACATTATTATGACATCAAAGTCTTGTTTTCCTCTATATTTGTCTCGTGTTTGATCATAAACATGTTTTTCTTAATGAGATCAGGTATTGAAAATGGATACTGTCATTAAAAAGGATGCCTTTAGAAAATGTTCAAATGGAAATGCCTCGGCAACGCAAATACTGCTGCTCACAAATATATTGATTACCGGTAGTATGTAAATGTATAAGTTGGTTTATTTACTAGCTATTGTCGGCTTTATTTTCGGAACTATCCATGAAAATTATTGATCTTTGTTAAAAAATGCCGCCTTGGTTTTCAGTGGATTATTTTTGTCAAAAATGCAAACAAGGCTTAAAAATTAAGTGACGTTTTGTAGTTGTTAGAAATGAATACTAATAAATACTTTTTCAAAAAAGGAAAATTATTTTGTTTATGAAATATTTTTCAAATGTGCTACAAGCTAACAGTCTGATTATCAGATCATGTTGGTGTTACTAAGTTTAGAAATCCATGCATGAAATATTTTTCAAGTGCTTTGCGTTAATGCGTATTTTATGTGTACGTTCCCAAGGAATGACTTAAAGGGTAGTAGTTGAACCCTGTACTAGTATGACACATGGTGCTTACAAAGAAGTGTTTATTTTGAATAAATGACTTGTTGGATCATAAAATTGCAAGGTGGTGTATGTTCTATAAAAGTGCTTTAAAAGAGTATGTTCCCAATATATACATGTAGTGATCTTTGTTGTTGTTTTTTGTCTGTCCATTTGCAAGGATATTCAATTTTGTTTCTAGTTTCTTGTCTGGCAGTCTGTTTTACACTTTCACACTGTAAAATTTTGAACCAAAGTGACCAGGAATGAGCTTCATATATGACATTAAACTTCATGTTTTCATTATGCAGGAAAATTTCCTGTAATTAATACTGACATGTCACAAGCCGGGCATTTGTGTTTGCGAATGCATATTATAGTTCGTGTCTATTGATATTTATGCTGTTTTGCAATTTGAAATCGTCCTTTTCAAAGTTAAGACCTTATTAATACTTATAGTTTGGCTGCAAGTGAGTTCTTTGTATTAAAAAGTACAAGTATCGTTATAAGGTCATTGGTTCAAGCTTACTTCAATGAAGTGTTAAATTGTGTGTTACATGCCCATTGATAGATTCCTACTCCGACCATTTATTTGAATAACATTAGATTCATTGAAATGTGCTGTTTTATGCACTAATATGTTGTGGTGAGATTCTTATTGTATCCACTTCTCTGATAAATACAACGAGATTTGCATTCTGTCAAGCTCACAGGAAAAACCAAGAATGTCCTTGCATGACATTGGCAATATTGTTGTGTTGTTATTTTAGTAAAGGAATTCTGGAATATATAATAATAATCCTTTTCTAAAGACACTTGAATATTTTCTCATTAACAATTTATCTACTTGAGATGCAGAAATTTGCCCATTTATTTATATATTAGAGAAATAACTGAGTGTATCAGATGCATAGTTTTTCCTGCAGCTCATGGCTAAGTGTTATAGAATTCTAAAGCTTCATTAAACATGTATGAGAACAAGTGTATATGGTTTAATCATTTCTGTACAAATGCAAGCATATGAGTTTGGCATATAGTATGTTGGTCATTTGTAAAATCTATATTTTTTGTACAAGTGAAATTGTATGTTCTTTTTTCCTTGACTAGCTTCTTTACTGCAGTCCAAGTTTTGTTCACAGACATTTTCATGAGAAGATATTTTTATGTTTTGTCTGAAAACATTTTATTAAATAGTAGCTAGATGTATATTACCAATTGTGAACAATATTTAAAGGCAACTTTCATTTAAAAGAAATTCGAATTGTTTGGTTGTGAGTCAATAATAAACTATATTTTATTGGGTAATATTTTATTCTATAATCAAGTATGAAGAATATTATGTTAAAATTGAATGAAAACAAAATTTTACACTAATGCAATTTTACTATGTGCTATTTTTTGGTGGATGAATGAATGAATGTCCTATTTAGATGCAAGACATTTTGACATATAATAAATGTATAGTTTATTGTATGAATGTTTCTTCACCATGATTTAAATGTTGATATAGATGTTTTGTAGAAATTCTGATGCAGAATTTCTTGACTTGCATGAAATATAACTGCCAAAACATTATTTTCATGTCCATTACAATATCATTATGTTATTTGAAAATAAAATGTTCAATTAAACAAGACTGTTTTTCATTGGTTGATTGCATGTGTCAGCAATTATTATATAGCTAATAGACCACTTTCAATTAGTGAGTATTT